CACCCGCACGTGTGAAAACATTTTCTGCTCGCGCACTGTAAGCGATACTGATTGTGCAGCCACCACCAACTCCGTAGATTGTCCCCAACTCTCGGTTTACGCGGATACGAATAAAAGGAAATGTCACACGACAGCCTGGCGATAACACGAGGGCCCTGCGAGATGACTTTGAGCGGCAGATTCCAGCCGATGGCTTCACAACAGTGGATCCGGAAATCGAGCGACCTCGCACATCTCTGGGAAACCGAGCCCAGTTGAGGAATCCGATAAACCGCCCCCATTGTGTGTGGTTCCTGCTCAGACAAGATGGGAGTTCCGTGCCGGCATCTGCACACAGCGCCTGGGGGGGGGGGGCTGGACCAGCCTCCCTCCCGGGACATCGCTCGCACGCAAGCGGCGCAAAGTGCAGCGTGTGAAGAATGAACGCCCAACCCAAGGCAACGACGACAACGACGCGCCTGGCCTGGAGAACACGGCCGTAACTTCAGGCAACTGCAGAGGGGCTTTTACCAATTTCTAATTAACACGGCAAATTCAGTCACAAGCATAGCCACCCCATGTGGAGTTTCAGCACTGATGGGGCACCCCAACAACACAGAGACCCCACTAATCAGATAACCCGCCACTTTCAGGGACCCGTCTGCCTCCACCGCACTCTGCTCTCTGCTCATGTGCCCGCTACGCAGCCTTAATGGAGCACAAATAATTCGCTCGCCGAAGGCTGCAGAGAGCAGGGCCGCCACCCTCCCCCCGCTCCGCGGAACTTCGGGAACCCGCAGCGGGCGGGAGCCGTCCCCACGGGATTGTTTCGGCGTCGCTCGCCGCTCCTGGGAACTGCAAATTGGCTCGACTTGGCTCGACTCGCCACCCCGCACGCCTTTTTGTTCGGTGCCCAAAGGGGCGAGCGTGGAGGAAGGAGGCAGGCACAGGGTACCCCGGGTCGCCTCTCCCTCCCCGCGCGTCCTCCTCTTGCGTGCCCGTGATGGAGGCAAGAGCCATCGAGAAGCCACTCGAGTCGGGGGCGAACAATGGAACCCACTCGGCGTGAATGTGAACGACACAGCGCCGCCGCCTCCTCCTCCTCCTCCCCGTGCTGCGCCGTCCCTCGCTGCCCCGAGATCCTGGAACGAGGGGGCCAAGGGGACCAGAGGATCCGGCCCCACGGAGACCCACACCCAGACCCCCGCCATGATCCGCGGGTCCCCGTTACCTTAACCTATGGCTCGGCAGGCGTCAAGTCACCACCACCCCGAGCCATGCATATTAACGTGATAAACAATTAATCACGACGCTGCGATTTATTTTAAATTCCCACACGCGCGGCCTCTTGTTCACCTCGGCCACGAGAGGTCGGGGCCCCTGGGGCACAAATCCCCGCCGGTGTCGCCTCGGTGGCCACCCGCCCATCGCTGTCGGCCCTGCTCTGGCGGCAACGCGGTCAGGTAAACGACCTCGGTGATGGGCACGACGAGGGCCCGTCCCTGCATTGCCCTCTCAACGAGGCTGCTCTCTGCTCTGGTCTTGCCCATGGATCTGCTGCCTTGATCCTGGGTTTGCCCATGAAAATGCGTTGCTCGCGCTTTTCCCACCATGCTGCCTTGCCCCCTTCGCCTTGCCCCGAGCCTTTCCCTGCCCCCCACGTGGATGCGGCACGGCCCAGGGCGGACGCGTAACCCAAACCGCGGCCGCGTGCTCCGCGTGAAAGGCGGCCAGCGACCTCGCGTTGGAGTCGGGGGGGGGGGGGGTCTCTCGCGCCGCGGGGACCCGGGAGCCGAACCGCGCGCTGGGCCCCGGCGGGGCGGAGCCTCGCCAGGGAGTCGCCTCTGCGCGCTGGGACCGTTATCCGCGACGCTCCCTCACGGCACGGACGCAACGAGACCGCGATGCCGCGGTCGCGGCATAACCCGGGAGCGTCGGTCGGGATGATCGCCGCGGCTCCGAGGTGCCAGGGACCCACTCACCTGGGTGCGGTCGCGGGGCCAGAGTGGTGAGGACGCACTGCGGACAGCGGACGAACACCGCCTCCAGCGCTAGGCGCGCAGCGGCTCGGGGAGGGGCGGGGCGCGTCACCGCGCGGAGCGATACGACGAGCCGGACGGGCTCGGCGACCAATCGGATCGAGCCTGCCCGAGGCGACGCGACCCGGCACGTGCGCGCAGCCTGACCAATCGCGGCGCGAGAGTCGGGCGTGTCCTCGGACAATAACAAAGACGTCACCGGGCGGCTGTGACGTCACTCAGCTGGGGGGGGGGGGTAAATACAGTAAGTTGATTGATAGGTATCACTAGGCCTCGGCAAGGTAAGGTAAAAGTTAAAAGGTAAAAACAACGAGCCGACCTTTACCCTACATTTTACCTTACCACAATACAATCACTCTACCCTTACCTTTTACCCTTTAGCAGGTAAGGTAAAAGGTAAAAAGCAACGAGCCTACCTTCTACCCTTACTCCATACACATTACCCGATTACAGGGTAATTACTGGGGTACTACGACATGAACAAGGTTTATAACGGTAAATGCTACAAGGTAGAGCGCTTTATTCATATAAAATACTCTCGATGATTCCAATTTTACACGCTTTCTTTGAACTCACTCTGTTGTTGTCGTTATTGTTGTTGTCGTTGTTGTCATTGTTGTTGTCGTCGTCGTCGCTGTCGTATCCTCAAACCTTGTAACTCAATTTTAACCCACTTCCTAATGTGGTATCGACTGCAAACTTGGTATACGTATGTCATAATGGTGACAATACTATATTATATCACTAAAAAAATACATATTTTAAACGATCTTTTGTATACGTTATGTTTCGGCTTGGCTCTAATTGTCCACGCTCAACTGACGTTGGCTGTAAATCACCACGGCCCCTTATGTTATGGCAAGCCTCGGGGCCACTTCCTGGAGTTGTGGAGTTCTGCCATTACTAGTAACATTTCATAAAAGCGTGTTTTTAAAACATTCTTTTTTTATATTACTTATTAAATGGAGGCCACGGACTGCGCCACGGAGCTTCTAGCGGTAAACAAGGTACCGTATTTACCGGGTAATACTTCGCGCTTTCTTTATCCTATCGGGTTATTCTTCCGAGCTACATTTACCCTACCTTTTACCTTACCCCTTGGCATGTCGACACCTTTACCCTTTTACCCGGTAAAAAGGGTAATTTACCTTACCTTGCCGAGGCCTAGGTATCACTTGGGGGGGGGGGGGGGATAAGTAGGTTGATTGACAGTTGTCACTCAGATGGGGCGGAGTGCGTGAGTAGGTTGATTGACAGGTGTCACTCAGCTGGGAGAGTGCGTGAGTTGGTTGATTGACAGGTGTCACTCAGCTGGGGGGGCGTGAGTAGGTTGATTGACAGGTGTCACTCAGATGGGGCGGAGTGCGTGAGTAGGTTGATTGACAGGTGTCACTCAGCTGGGGGGGTGTGAGTAGGTTGATTGACAGGTGTCATTCAGATGGGGGATGCGTGAGTTGGTTGATTGACAGGTGTCACTCAGCTGGGGGGGGAGTGTGTGAGTAGGTTTATTGACAGGTGTCACTCAGCTGGGGTAGATGTGTTGTGGGTAAATTACTAGAGGAGAGTTCTCTGAGGCAACACGTTTTTATTTAACAATAACTGCGTAACACAAAGGGGTAACGGCCCCTTACACCCGATGTGCTAGGGAGGTAGCCCCTCCGGACGAATATGCATCTTACTGGCTAACGTACACCTCTCACGAGTGAAGCTTGCGTCTTCACTGGTATAAGCTTGAGCCGACCCTAGCCAGGGATACGGCTTCTTCAATCTTCTGGCGAGCGACGACTGCCGGGACCGTTCAGAGGTCCGGCTTTTATACAGAGCCGTGGCTTACTCCACCCCGGCCACACCTTCCTTCTCGAACCTTCCAGCAGGACCTGGGGGTGATGTCATCCCCTAGCGCCCTCCTGGGGTCTGGGGTCTGCACCTCTGGTCATGCCGTTCCATAGGGGTTACCGTTGGGCCCTGTGGGCCATAGTCCTTGAACACTGGGGCTCAGGCCCTCTCCTGCCCCCTATTGGCACGTGTCCGATACCACCGGCTAACAGCATGGCAGATGCACAATAATATCTGTACAAGTGTATGGACAGGTATCACTCCGCTGAGGGGGGGGAGTGCGTGAGTAGGTTGATTGACAGGTGTCACTCAGCTGGGGGGGGGGGAGTCTGTGAGTAGGTTGATTGACAGGTATCACTCAGCTGGGGGGGGGGAGTGAGTAGGTTGATTGACAGGTATCACTCAGCTGGGAGGGGGGGGGAGTAGGTTGATTGATAGATGCCACTAATTTGGGGTGGCGGGCCACTGACGAGCCATGAAGGCCAGTGGGGGAATGCTCAGCCTCAGGGGAGCACTGGGAGGAATTGGCCAAACACCCCTGTGCAAGACCCTCCGGAAAAAAAATCTCAAAACTCAGTGAGCCTAAAGGATATTATTACTTCCAGGGTAAAAAAAACCACGTGATTTCATCCTAAAGGTTGTCAAACAAATGTGCCAATAACCTAAAATACCACTCAGTTCATGTACAATCCCTCCCAGAGCCTTCAGTCGTGTCTCCTTATTGGTATTAACGATTCCATTTGCGCCTCCACGTTACTGTAATACCCTTGGCCACTCATTTAGCGTAGTTCCCTCCCTTCACTTCCCCCCTCTACTTCCCTATTAAACCAAAACACAGAGCATACTTGCACCTGTACCCTCTTGATCACACGTGTTTGCAGTTTTTTTAGATTCGTGTGTGACACTTTTAGACAAATATAGAGCCTACATACCCAACTTTTCACATTACACTTGCACTGGTTTTTGACTTGTGTTTTGTTTACAACCGTTAAATAACTCGTTTGTTTTGAAATAATCTTTGCAATATTGCCGTTTTTGTTTTGTATTGTTGTTGCTTAGCTCGCTTAGCTCGCTCAGCACGGATCACCCTTGTAAAACGGGATCATCTGCGTAACAAATAAAATAAACTTAACGCGAAAGCGGCTGTTTGCTTGACACAGAAATAATTGTATTCTCACAGGAGCGCACAACATAACACCAATACAGTGAGCATGTCTGGAGAGGACCACACACAAATACTCCAACTCGAGTGTGCAGGGCTTAATTTCAAGCCAGGTCTGTCCGGGTTGCTGACCCACAATAAAATTACACCCACCACATGCAGTTTGCCTCTCGCTTTGGGTATGCCATTAATGGCGTGCCACCTACTCCAGTCTACCGGCGACCCAGAACATATTGCGTGAGAAATTAAGCTGACTCAGTAATGCACCTGTATTCTAGCTCTTTTAGTGTCGACCAAACTTGTCTCGGCGGCTTAGCACCAGCACACGAGACAGGATACCGCTACTGCATAGTGACACTACAAAATTACAGACATGCACACAAACAGTGCCGTGTCGCCGTCAGTAGTGTTAAACACGGGCAGTGATGCATGACACAGGGCACAAGGGGTGAGAGGCAATACCTGGCAGGAGGTCACGAACGTGGGAATGCCTACAATAACTTCCACAGTGAACGGTTTTAAAGGAGTAGGATGGGGACAAGGACATGGAAAGAGGAAGACAGACATCATACATTCAAGCAACAACAGTTGCCACGAAACGTGGTTCGTGTATTGTGAGCAAATGTGCTTATTAACAACCAAGAAAACATTCTACACCATTTATCTAACTGTGCTCTTAGTGAGGGGTGAGACTAAACAGCTGACATTAAGGTTAATGGGCACTGCAGTCAGTGAGCCCAGAGCCCAGCTCCAAGCGTGGGCGGCCCCAGCCTACTCGCAGGCCTTGGCGTCCTGGCTCATCCCGGACGCTACGATGAGCGCTGCCCCTTTTCCACTACCGTCTTCCGAGATGCGGAATGTGAGCACGCAACGATGCGCCAGCTCCCGAACCGTCTCCTGCATCACGCGTGAGAAGCTGCGAACACACAAACGAAACATGCTAATTCTCCAGCCATTATAACTACCCCCTATAGTGGAGGTCTCGTTCAGTCAGGCTCTGAGTTTTCTTGTTGAACACAGTGAAAGTTTAAGTCATTGCATCCTTCCTGGTTGGGCAAGTGTAGGGCTGCCACCTTTTCCACGGACCAAATCCGGATGTATTTCTCAGTCAACCTACGCCTATAAAAAGTGTACAGTTTGCAGTACTATAATAAAATTTAACACAATACCATCAGATCAGGTACAAATAAATTATTGCCAACCAAACTACAAATTAAAATTCCAGAATGGTTTGGGTCAAACCCATCGAGGAGGCAATCCTCGATGAAAGATCATGCCCCATTGGCGGGGCCTTACCTGGGGTGCAGCTTGTACATGGTGCCATCCACGCCCACAGTCAGCTTCAGCTGCTGCACGCCGCGGCCCTCTCTCATTTTGTCCACCACAGCTGCCATGGCGGCACCACAGAGCTGGGCGGCACGGCGTGATACCACTTGGCAAACCTCCTTCACCACCAGACTATCGTCGCATGTCGAGTCTAATCCCAGCTGTCGTAAGATCGAGCGCACCTCCAGCAGAGCCAGCCTGTCACTGGATTACATTTGGAAGATACCACATCATATACCGTGGCAACAGTGCCGGCCACACCGTCCACTGCAATAATCACATCCAACTGCAACATTGTGCATATCAGTCACCGCCCAAACCCCAACACACCATCCAACTCATTCACTACGTCAATCCACACCATTTGGAACATCAACCATACCACCCACTGCATCAGTCATATCCAGTGTATCAACCATGTCAACGAAACCAACCCACTACGTCAACCATACCACACACCGCACCAGTAGCACTTTCTCTGTCTACCGAATGGTCGTTGATGTGACACAAAAAGGTCTTTGTATGTCAACACACAGCCATTGCATTTAAAATCAACTTGAAGCCAGTCACCTGTGAAATAGTCATTCCTAAAGACTGTCCACGTGAGGAGGAGGATGTTACCTCTCAATGTAGGACAGGAAGCGCGTCTCGAAGATGCCGGGTGTGCGCAGCCTCTCGGACACGACCCCACGGAATAGGAGGCCCAACTCGGTCAGGTCGATGAGGATGTTCCTCACAATCTCACCCAGGTACATCCCGCTCATCATCTTCTCAAACCTCAGGTAGACAAGGAAACATGACTATTCCCAACCCGTTCTTATTTAATTATGATATAACGGGACATTGATGGAGATAAGGTGTGTGCAGACTAGGTACCTCTGCTTGCCGGGATTGAGGGAAGACTTGTCCATGTTTCTGTCAATGTCAGTCCTCAAGTGTTCGAGTGAACCGTTGTCCCCAAAAGCTCCCAGCTCTACATTCACACACATGCGGGGGCCTTCCTCCCCCTCCCCGGGGCTGCCGATGCCTCCCTCCCCCTTCACCAGCTCCACTTTATCCAGCTCCTCCATGTAGCACACGTTACAACCCGTGCCTGTGGAAAAGAGACCGTGGGTTGCAGTGACTGACATGGAACCGATCAGTGGTATGGTCTGAGTGCACGTTTTGGTGACTTAAGCCAGAAACTCATTGCATTCACAGGCAAAATATGGGGAAGAAGATGCAATAGAACAGCTGAGCGTCTGGTGTTGTGGGACAAACTCCGAGGGCTGTAGCTGCAGATGGTTGGAGAGTGGGTGCAAGTGCAAGTCACACACGTGGGGCTCCACGCACCGACTATGAGGGCTGCCTGGCAGTGCGGGCTTGTGTAGGCCACTGACATCATGGTAGCCACCGTGTCGTTTGTCAGCGTCACAGACTTAACCTCAAACTCCTGCAACAACCCACAGCAACCCCATTACATGTGGGAGAGGCACAGCGTGTCTACAGTGCACGCAGAGCATGTGCAGGGCGTGTGCAAGGTGAGTGAACATTGTGTGCAGGTTGCATGCAGGATGTGTGCATGGTGTACGCGAAGCATATGCAGGGCATGTGCAGTGTGTGCCAGATATGTGCAGGGTGTGTGCAGGGTGCTCACATTGCGCCGAGCAATGGCCTCCTTAAGCAATGTCACCACATCTTCTCCCTCACATCCTGAAGCGCCAAACATTTTGGTCCATTCTATCAGCTGTCCCTGTCCACACAGAATCAACAGCATCATGGCCCAACATGGCACAGCATGGTGGTGTGATGCACTGTTATGTGGTGTATCGCTTTGATGATGCCTCCTTCATATTTGTGAATCAGGAATTGAATCATTGTATGTTGTATGGTCTGTTCTGCATGACCACAGTCACACACCAGAGACTTTTTAATTCACTATTTGTGCATGAAGAATCTGCATCTGCCATGGATTGCACATATGCGTTTCGCAGAAGATCAAAGTCAAGGATCTTCTGCATCAGATCTTCTACGAGTTGTTTAAGACTTCTTGCAAGTGTAGTGACATCGCGAGATGTCACTGTGTGGTGCCGGCCCGAGAGAGGCACGGCGTGCGGTGTAGCAACATCGCGGACACCACTATGATGTGGGTGCAGTACCGGCCCTATAGGAGCTCAGTGAGCACTGACTGACAGTGCTGGATGGCACCACACTCTGCGTGGAGTGCCGGCTCCTACAGGATAGGGTGCGGGAGTGCCGGCCATGGGAATGGGGTTACTAAGGGCCGTGGCACTCTGGTTGACCCCAGAGGACACACGTGACCAGTTAAGTCTGCATGGGGCTCCCAAGGGGGGGCTAGAGGTGGTCACGTGTCAGGGTCGAGATCCTGCTCGAGGATTCTAGAAGGTGGTCGTGGCTATGGGCGGAGCCGGCCACGCCACAGAGGATATAAGCCGGGTCCCCCAGAGGGACCGGCTGCTATTGTTCATCCTGAAGAAATCTACATTCCATGTTCTACGTCCTACAGAGTCTCCAACACGTGGACCTGGACCCAAGCTGTGGTCCGGTCCGTTGTAGCTAGTCACAGTGTAGTTAGTGTAGTAGGCCTGATGGTCCACCACCATAGGTTGTTATCCTGTTAAGGGGCAGTTACCCCTTGTGTTGGTGTTAATAAATGTGTTGCCTCCAAAGAGTACGTCTGCGACTCAGTTGAATTCACTACACAAGCATTACCAGGGTCAAATTTGCACTGCTAAAGGTTAAGCGCGTGGGTTCTGAAGGGATTGCGTGACCTCAAGTGGTGATGATGGACGTTGAGATAAATAGCACATTCATTTCTAATGAATTCAAGGGATCTTATGAAGCAAACGCCGCATATTTTATGGTAAATATACACCGCAGTATTTACCAGGGCAGCGTGCCATATTCAAACCACGAACCTCGGCAACACGCAGCCAACACGCTACTGCTGGTCAATGTTACCTCCCCAAGTGAGCCCTGCCGGCAGGGGAATGAGAAGATGAGCCCCACGTGGATGGATCGGCCGCTCCGGCCACTCTCCCGCAGCAGCTCTCCCGCACACTCTGCCAAGTGGTCGAACAGCTGGAGAGTGAAGCGTACATGCCAGCGTCAGAGCCACAGGCAACATAGACTTGCACCGGTTAGCACACGTCATGGGTGTTTACCATGATATGGGGAAATTATGGTGCGGCATGTCACAATATTGTACACACATTTATAATTATATACAAGTAACTACATTGCCTAATCAGCTCGTGTGCAGTTGTTAGATGGATTGTTTCATCGTAAGACCATGAGAGGTGGCGACGGCGTGTGGAGGCATTCATCCAACAGTGGAGGCATTCATCCAACAGTGGATTGATCAGGGCTGATGATAACTTACATTGGACCCAAGAAGCATTTTTAGAAGAGATATCAGGTGAGATGCAGACAGCTGGCTTTTCAGTCAGCTCTGAAGCCCTGCCTGCCAAAATATTGAGTCTTACCTCCCAACAGAATATACAATTTCTGTTGTCAAGAGTTGAATTCATTTTTCATATAAGGTGACAGGCTATTGACCCAGTGCATTCATGTAGGACAGAGTAATATTACCCGCACTGAATTTTACCAAGATGAAAAAATTCTGCATATTAGCACTTCCAAACAGGTACATTTGCACTCAGACCTCAGAATCCTATGTTAATGTGAGCCAGGCGGATGCGCCAGACCTTCTCAGCAGTGCCCCGCTGTATGTTCTCGGGCACGGAGTAAATCTTTTTGAAGATGGAAGCCTCGCGCCGACCACCCCCTGGCAGCTTCACCAGCATCACGATGAAGTTCCCACCCCCGAGGTCCAGCGTCAGGAATTCTCCCTCCTCTGCCAGTGTGATGGGATGGAATGCAGCATTATTGGCAGAAGCTCATTACTGTGAACAAGCTTCACTCCGCAGAGGTGTCAGCAAAATTGACAATGCAGCAATTAATCCTGCAATGCTGAGCAGCTATGAAACATGGCCCACTACTTGCCAAGTAAAAGATTATGAAAAATGGTGTTTGAAATTGCAAACATTGCTGCCGCCATCTCCGTACACCACTCACCATTGCCATTGGGGATGGTGCGCACGTAGGAGGGAAGCATCTTTACAGAGGCTTCTTTGTGGCTCTCACATTTGAGTCCACGCTCCATCTCCTCGCGCAAATGACGCTTCACATCCTTCAGCACCTTGTGGTCCAGCTTGAGCGGTGCGAGCTTCTGATCAATCTGACGGCGCTGCTGCGCGAGCCGGTATGCCACGGCTGTCACCATAGCGGCACCCTTCCCACTGCCGTCTTCGGACAAGATGAAGCGAACCTCACATTCAGGAACGAGGAGCTTCAAGGCATCCTGGAGCCGTTGACTGAACCTACAGCCGGCACATGCAGCACAGGGAGGCCAACGAAGGGGTCAATTCCAGCACAGGGTCTTAACATGGGAGGTCAGTCATGCCAATCACAATGGCATCACTGTTCTGCATATTTATTCGTGAGAAGCAACTTTAAAAAGTTGGTGAGTGCCGGTATCTGAGAGGGATTTCAGGATTTTCTGCCAAGACAGGATAAGCAATGCAGAAGTCTGGCAGGTAAGTTTTATATTCATGTGATTTGACAAAAACACTTGTGCTGGGTGAGACACATGTGCAGCATTGGTGAGGGACGACTGCTGATAGAGTAAGCCCACATGTGGGCATATTGTTGGGCAGATGTTGGAGGTCGCGTGTCTACGGTGCAACAGCTGCAGGATCTGCCAAACAATAGAAAGCATTGGCAAGGTGTCGTGGCATCACCAGCTTTGCCATGATGAAATCATGATCTATGCATGAGAGCAATTAAGTAACGACCATGAATCTTATGCTGTTGTGATAAAGCAAATAAATGTCAAAGCTCTGGCAGCATTATTGGTCGTTCGTGTGCATTGTGTCACAGTGCCCTCACTGAGGGTGCAGCTTGTAGACAGAGCCGTCCACACCCACGGTCGTCTGCAGCCGATCCTTGGCCTGGTTTTGCCGAATCCGTGTCACCACGGCAGCCAAGCCGGCGGCACACAGGTGGGCGGAACGAGTAGACACCAGGCAGCAGATCAGACAGGCGGCTTCACAGTCCTGCACTGAAACTTGCAGCCCCAAGTCCTTGAGGATCTTCTCTGCCTTCTCAAGCCCTACATTTTCCCTGGTGTGCCACAGCATAGTAAAATCACTCATTAAAATAATTCTTAAACCAGCCTAAAATATTCAAATACAAAAAAAACATCAGATGATCATATATCTGATATATAATGGATGTGTGATGCAATCCCAGCAATGAGTATTGCCTGCGCTACCTGGCCACGTGCCAATATTCACCAGCAGCACTAATGAAGCGATTTGCTTCATTAGTGCTGCTTAACCCAGGCCCAGGAGTCTCACTTTTCCATGGCAGACACGAAGCGCGTCTCGAATGATCCCTTGGTACCAAGCGCAGATGACACCTTTCCTCCAAAAAGCAGCCCCTCCTCCGTGAGCTTCACCAACACCAAGCGCACAATCTCACCCAAGTACATGCCGCTGATCATCTTCTCGTACCTGCTCAACCAACAGCACGCAACAGCACACCATCATGCTCCACTCTCACTGCCGTTTCATGACACGCCGGACAGTGTCGTAATGCAACCCAGCCAGTGCCGGTACCATGAGGGTGACATACAGCTGCTTGCCGGGGTTGAGAGAGTCGTGGTCGAGCTTGCGATCAAACTCGGTGAGCACGTCATCGAGCGCCCCATCGTCCCCGAAGGCGCCCCACTCTGTGTTGACGCACATGCGGCCCTCGTCACCTTCCACCAGCTCCACGTTGCTCAGCTCCTCCATGTAGCACACGTTGGTGCCCGTGCCTACAGCAATCGCACAGCGCACACAGACATACATGCCCGCACATCGCTACATGTTTTTTGGACAGTGAGGCGTTGATCAGCATCATGTCTTTGCTGATGTCGGAGTTGGCGAATAAGCCAGTGAAAGGCTTCAGGAGTAAGCTGGTGAGATTGATGACCATAGTCACACTGTGGCCTATTCTAGATTGCCAATTGGTGTGAAAGATAGCCACATCTGCCATATGATGTTATGATTTTGTTCCAGACCACTGAAACCAGGAAGGTCTACTGTGGGGTTGGAGATTTAGTGCTCTTTAAGGACATTGGCCTCAGGATTAAATGAGGGCACTTTTACAGTTTCCACTCAATCCCAAAACGGTTTGAGGAACAAAAGCCTTATGATGCTCTGAAAGTCCGCATCTCTACTGGAACCTCAGTTGTGGTCTGAGATGTGTACATTGCTTGAAAATGCGAGCATGGTGCATGGAGTGTGGTGGTAACTTCCGCCAGAGTCGTGTTGACAAGTGTGTGTGAGACTTGCCGACAATGAGGCCGACTTCACAACGTTGGTCATCGTAGCCGCATGTCATCATGGTGCCCACGGTATCATTCACCACAGCCACTACGTCTATGTCAAAGTCCTGTAAGGATATAGTTATGCATCATCGTACATCAATTCATGACACTACATCGCAGAACAGAACATACCACCGCATGTTACACCTGCACGGCATTCATGCTTCCTGTCGTCAGGCTCCACCCACCCCACGACGCTTGATGGCCTCCCGCAGCAGCTGAACAATGTCACGGCCCTCCACACCACTCGTCTTGAACCCCTTCGTCCAAGTCAGCAGTGTGCTCTGCCAAGGACATGACGTCACAGATTAAACTGTTTTTCCACCTCGCATTATCAGGGAAGGCACGTTTGTATTGTGAGCCTCGATAGTGACAAACATGCCTTATATACCAACTCCAACCCCATATCGCCTCCTCAACCCCACGGTACCTCATCCAACTTGGTCTGCTTGCAAGGAAAGGAGAACGTGAAGGCAAGGGGCAGCTTTTGGCTCTTGATGTTGCGTTTTTCCAGGAAGTCAGACAGACATTTGGCGATCAGGTCAAACAGCTGCACACACACACATTTGCAACATGTTGGTAAACGGTCAGCAGAGGAAGATGAGGAAACACGGGAGACCCCCAGAATATGATCACCACAAATGAGAAGAGCATATACAGTCTTAATTTACCGAAAAAACCAAAGAATAAAAACCAAAGAATAAGCATATACAGTGGTGTGATATTGTAATTGCAATGCAGCATCATCTACAGCCAGGAGAATGGAGTCCTTGGTGATCATTAACTAGCGGACTCTCTGGCAGCAGCACTCGTGACCCCCACTTGAGTTACTAACCTGCTCAGCGGTGCCAGCCATGGCCTCCTTGGGAATGACGTAGATCTCGTTCTCCATGAACACTTGCTGCTGGCCACTTTCGTCAGCAATCTTCACCCGTAGCACGCGGAAGTTGGTCCCTCCCAGGTCCAGAGCCAGGTATTCCCCCCGCTCTGTGAGCGTCGAAATGGCAGCACACGGGAACACCCAGTCACCCATCACCACACGCTGTACTCGTATGTTATACCAGGGACTTATTCGCTACCTCAAGCCGTAACAGTAACATGGTCACCGGAGAAAGATGAGGGTACGCAGAAGGAGGTTCCCAGGCTATGACAACCGTGTGTGGGTGTAGCCGGTGTGAGCTCACCTTTGATCAATCACACGTATGTTTGTACACTCTGCAGCATATGGGAACCGAAGACACCATTTTGTATTATATTTCACGGCTGTAATAGCTATGGGTAGCCAGGTGCGTTTTTTTTATTTTAAGTGAATGCAATAGCAATCAGGGATTGGACCCCAAGCCTCACGTGCACTGTATCGGATTAGTTCCAATGATATATAACTTACATTGATATTACTTGAAAGTTAATCGACTGACAGGAACTAGGTAATGTTAATTGACTGTTGATTGAGTTATTGGTGGTTATGAAGATATGCACAATTAAGGCTTTAATATTAAAGTTAATTTCTATTAATTAAATACTCATAATAATTGGGTCTAAAATATTAACACTGGAGTTCAATCCCATTAACAAAGAGATTGAGCTGTGGTGTTGTGATGTGGAGGGTGTCTGTCACGATTAGAAGAATGAGATGTTCACTTTTTTGTTGTTGTATTATATTAGTTTGTCATTTTTTGTGATGAGTTTTTTTATTATTAGAATTACGAGTGTTACTAACATGTTTATTTTGATCAATCCAATTCGAATCAATAGATATAACGAAGTTGGAAGATGATTAGAGTGTTTTTGTAATAGTTGAGAACATTTAGTGTTATTGTGTTGTGCTATTCATTGGGAAGGCACAAAATTGCTGACTTAGAGCTTAATTTTAACATTGAGCTAATGGGGTGAGCAGAATCGGTGTTTTTGCAGAGGTTACATGATATAAGAAAGAATAATTGTTTTATATGTTTGTTAGCAATATATGATTTATCTAATTTACGTATTAATATAATTAGATACAAAAATGTATTATTATTGATTTAAAATTGTATAAGTATGTATTGTTTCGTTTAAGTATTATCAGAAACTAGGAATTGTAGGAGGCATTATTGATGTTTTGGGAAGATGTTTGTATGTTAAATGTCATTCGATTTAAACGGCTGTTATAATTTAGATTTGGGTGGACTCCGTGCTGAGAGATTGATCTGCGGTGTTGTGGCATGGATGATGTGTTTGGTCACTATTGCAGATACGCAAATCCCCTTCAGTCACCCACTGCTCCAGAAAACAGAACACAATGCGGAGTACATACTCATCATCTCCAAACTTTATTATTTTTGTTGTTGTAGCAGACTGGCTACACGGGGTCTCAATAAATTCTTGCAAAAAATGATCAGTAACTCAGTGGTGGCCGCAGCGATGGGTGTGTGTTCACCTGTGCCATCAGGCGTGGAGCGCACAAAAGACGGCAGCATCTTGATGGAAGCAGCGTCATGGGTCTGCTGGCCCAGGCCGGCATCCATGGCAGCTCGCATGCGCACCCTCACCTGGCACAGGATGTCATTCGACAACACCAGGCTCTGCAGCCGTACCTGCACCTGCACCACCACTTGAAATGTCAGCGTACTGCGCCCTTCATATAACACACATCTAACAGCACAGCCTCTGTAAATTGGCTATAAAACCCAGACATGAGCTAGTTACTCCATCTCACAAGTCATTGACTGAGAACGGGTGGCAGGGTTGACAATGGCTGGTCAAGCTTCAGTGTGGCACGAAAAAAGCGCCCTACCCCAGATTATTGTTTGAATTCGTGATTGAAACAATGTTTCTGGTACACAGATGCACGCAGACATCCACGACTGAGATGTGTGTAGTGTGAAAGTCTCAGCGGCAGATCGTGTGCAAGGCACGTGAATGCTCCAGGGGCAAGCTGTGTGCAGGGATTATGAATTCAATCTAGTTTCCAGTGCAGTCATTAATGTTCATCTTACCGGTGGCTAAGAACTTAGTTTTGTTGGGATGATTCCCAGGCCACCCTTAATGATGTTGCATCTGAAGGTATTTTCGAAGTGAAATATTTTAATTCATTCATAAAATCACTTAACCTTGTTCTGACCTCTGCGGTGTTAAGGCTCCTGCACTGCCCCTCAGCCAAAATGCGAGCGGTCAGCACATTGCAGCGGAGGAATTATAATGTGAACGAGCCAAGCAATGAGTGAACGAGTGGGTGAAAGAGCAATTAAATAGAATGATGGAGCAATTTATGAGCGAAGGAGTCGATCGTCTAAAGAGGTAATCGAGTGAGTGAAGGAGGTATGGGAATAAATTGAGTGAAGGAGGGTTGAATGAGCAAGTGGTTGAGTGAACAGAGAAGGTGAGTGAAGAATGTGAGTGCGTGTGAGGCAGCTGTGAGTCGAGACGTCCATTTTCATTTTGTTTGGCAGCGTGTGGGGGGGCATTGAGCCGCGTCTCACTTTGCAGGATTAATCAACTCAATTTAATCGGAATCCAGAATATCTGGGCCAGGACCCTGCGGTGCCCACTCACTCATACACTCGCTCAATCCTTCAATCACTCCTTCACTCACAAAATCCTTTAATCACTCCTTCGCTCCTTCAATTACAGTACTCACTCATTCACTCACAAAATCCTTCAGTCAGTCCTTCACTCCTTCAATCACTCACTACACTCACAAAATCATTCAGTCACTCAGTCCTTCACTCAGTCATTCGGTCCTACCCTCAGTGTCCTTAAAAAGACTTGATGTAACCCAGAGGCAATGTTTCATGTCTCAATGGATTTATTTAATATCCAAGTTAAATAAATAAGAACACATACAGTACAAAGGTTGTCTTTTATCACGACTGTCTTTTACGCTGTGAAAGACAATCCTTCACCCAGTCATTCACTCACTCCCTTATTCCTTCACCCTCCTGAAAAAATAGAGTCTTACTAAGACTCAGCGTGCGCCTCTTGTATAAACAGCTAATTTGCTATGTCCTCACTCGTACTATACCGCATTCACCCTCCCTCTCGCCGCCTGTATTCACGCATCGCCCGTGGCCTGCATGCTGAGAAGTGCTTCTTGGCGGCTGTTTGGCCTCGGGGGCCTCGGAGGGGGATCCCTGGGACACCCCCGTGGATGCTCCCACAGCAGGCAACCCCGCGCAGCGCGCCCCGGGGTCACCATGGAAACGCGCCCCCCGAGGTCACCATGAAAACGCGCCCCCCGGGGTCACCATGGAAACGCGGCACCCGGGGTCACCATGGCAACGCGGCCCCCGGGGTCACCATGGCAACGCGCCCCCCGGGGTCACATGGAAACGCGGCCCCCGGGGTCACCATGGAAACGCGGCACCCGGGGCCCTGGCGCGATGTCGCAATGCGTCCGTCTCAGTCGGGGGCGAGGTCCCCTCTCACAAGAATAATCTCTCTCGCAGGGGTCACGAGGATCGCGATTCACAAGGGGTCCGCTATCCAGAGGGTCCCAGGTCTCCTTTCACATGGGTCTCCTCTGCCAAGGGTCCCAGGTTCCCACTCACAGGGGTCCCAGGACCTCACTCTTAAGGGATCCCCTCACACGAGGGTTCCAGGTTTCCTCTCGCAGGGACGCTCTCACAGGGGCCCCAGTGTCCTGATTACAGGGGTCCCCCAGGTCTTCATTACCACCGTGACAGGAAAATCCCCAGCCTTGCCATTGCAAGCGGCACGCACACACACCACAGCAACACCGTACGCGCCCTGTGCTACAACGCGTAAAAGAGCACGCGACAGCCACAACGCCACACACACGCGCGCACACAGCCACACACCCGCACTGCGGCTAAAACAACCGCACAGCCACATCACCCACTCACGCCTCGCGTCTGTCGGGGTATCGCGCTCACCGCGGACATGGTGGCGCCTCCCCTGGCCTCCCGGGTCTCTGGAGCTTGGACAGCGCGCCCCTTGGACCCGATCCCACTGCTCTTGCCCTCGGGGAAGCGAGCAGCTTCGGCGACAGCGAGCGGCGACAGCGAGGAGTGAAGAGGAGTGATGTAGAATGAGGGGGTGACGAGGGGTTAGTGAGAGTGGGCTGACGAGCCACGGAATGTATCCCGGGGTCGTGGCGAGGAGCGCGGCGAAGGAACGAGTTGACCTCTCAACCACAACCCGAGCGTGAGCAGAGCGAGGAGCACTCCTCCCCCCCCCTCCTCCACTCCGCCCCCCTCCTCCACTCCGCCCCCCTCCTCCACTCCGCCCCCCCTCCTCCACTCCGCCCCCCCTCCTCCACTCCGCCCCCCCTCCTCCACTCCGCCCCCCCTCCTCCACTCCCCCCCTCCTCCACTCCGCCCCCCCCCTCCACTCCCCCCCCTCTTCCACTCCCCCCCTCCTCCACTCCGCCCCCCTCCTCCACTCCGCCCCCCCTCCTCCACTCCGCCCCCCTCCTCCACTCCGTCCCCCCTCCTCCACTCCGCCCCCCCTCCTCCAGTCCGTCCCCCTCCTCCACTCCGCCCCCCCTCCTCCACTCCGCCCCCCCTCCTCCAGTCCGTCCCCCTCCTCCACTCCGCCCCCCCTCCTCCTCCACTCCGCCCCCCTCCTCCACTCCGCCCCCCCTCCTCCACTCCGCCCCCCTCCTCCACTCCGCCCCCCCTCCTCCAGTCCGTCCCCCTCCTCCAGTCCGTCCCACTCCTCCCCTTCGTCATTTCCCTCCCCCCCTCCCTCCCTCCCATTCTAGCCCCCACCCCCTACCATTACCTATCCCCCTACATTCCCGTAGCCTGCTTCCTCTACTCCATCCTTCCTCCACGGATTCCATTTCTGCCCTCCCCCTGCACTCAGGTGAGGAGTATATGGCGCTACACCCCGCAGGACCCACATCGATTCGTCCAGACCTTGCTCCCCCCAAACCCGGGCCCCTCGACCTCCGGACCCTGTCCCCACCCAGGACGTCAAACCCCACCCCTCCCTACCTGTATTCTGCATTCCTGCGGTCAGGTGTCCCCTTGGCCAACGTTAGTTCCGATGACTTTCAATGTGGGTCTCACGATCGCCCACCATAGCGCCCTCCACGTCGCTCGACATGACCAGGCACAGAGTTTCTTGCTCAAGAGTTTTATTGTCCCAGGTTCAACTCAAATTTCCCAGGCACCAAGTGTCCGGCACCGTCCTCACCCGTAAAGGTTAATCACAATTGCCTATAACTATCTTATTCATGTACAAATATATATTCCGAAAAAAATACCGATTACCAATCCCAAGTTTCCAAACAATGCCCAATTGGTTCAAGCATGCCCAGCTTTGCTGATAATACAGTCAAAACGGGTCCATATTTTGCTTGATTTTAACCAATGCTGGGTCGTTAGTGGTTACAACTAAATATAAAAAGCAGACTATGCCTCCATGTAAAAAATATTAAAGAATGTTTTACACATTCCACCAGCCATACAGCCTCCTGGGAGTACAGTATAAGTGACTGGAGATATTTAGAAATATGCGTTTACAGTATCTTACTGATATAAAATTCCACTTTGTTGAGCTATCATTTGTGACCAGGTCACTTTTGAAAAAGAGCTGTACAGCGCAATAAGCCTTACCTGATCAAAAAAAATGCCCGAGACCTTTGAGCCAAGAAATCTGTAACTCTGCTCTGTCTCTGTCAAAAGACCTGTGAGCCAATGATCTCTGCAACCTTGCATGGCCTACGACTTAGACCTGTGAGTTTGTCACCTATGCAATCCTGCCCCTCACCAGTCTAACAGAGGAATTCAAGTGTGCAAAAACCAGGCTCCAGATGACACTGAATGAATCTCGAGACCCAGTGGTGAGCAACAACGCGCCGACCTTGGCAACTGGGCGCAAATGGAGGCCAGGAAAAGCAGTCCAGGAGGCAACAGCAGCCCTCAGACATGCTGACATTGTGGGTCATGTTCAGCAAGGGAGAGGAGGCCTTGGGCTAACTAGCCGTGCTGCTTGGAGTAAGGCCACTGCACCAGAGCGGCGGAAGATGGTAGTGCAGGAAGTACGCCATCAAGAGGAGGCTGCAAGGTGGGCCAAGGCAGTCTCTCTTGCCAAACAGGGACAGTGGACTCGATGGGACAGTATGGAGAAGAGGAAGATCAGCTGGAAGGATCTGTGGGCCACGGAAGCGAGGCGGTTGAGCTTTTCCATCAGAGCAACATATGACGTCCTTCCAACACCAGTTAATCTTCACCAATGGTATCGTGAAGATCCGGACTGTGCCCTCTGTTCCATGCCAGCCAACCTCAGGCACATTCTCACAGAGTGTAAAACAAGCCTCACCCAAGGACGCTACACTTGGCGTCACAACCAAGTCCTTAAAAACCTTGCGTCCGCCCTGGAGGACAAGCGAGGTGCCACCAACTCCCTACCACCCCCAGCAGCATCACACCACTTACGGACGACCTTTGTCCGCGAAGGGGCTAAACCACCGAAGAGCGGCTCTACACCATTAGAGCGAGACCAGCTGCGCTTGGTCCGCGATTGGAAAATGCTAGCTGATATTGGCCGGCAACTTGTGTTTCCTCCGGAGATCGCAACCACCACCCTAAGACCTGACATTGTGCTCTGGTCCCGTTCGCTCAAGAAGGTCTTCATCATTGAGCTTACAGTACCCTGGGAGGACTCAGTAGATGAGGCTTATGAGCGAAAACATCTGCGCTATGCCGATCTAGCTGCCGAAGCACGGCATCATGGCTGGAACACAGAAGTCCGACCAGTGGAGGTGGGCTGCAGAGGTTTTGTGGCAACATCTGCAACCAGACTGCTTAGAGACCAGGGAATTAAGGGCCAGAGCCAGCGTTCGGCAATCAGAGCTGTATCGGAGGCGGCAGAAGGCAGCAGTCAGTGGCTCTGGATGAAGAGGAAAGACCCCAGCTGGGCCCCGAAGTGAGAGGGCCAGGAGGTATGCGGTCAACAATGCTTGACTCAGGGAGGAGGACGCCCCTGCCATGCATAGTCCCATGGGATGTTGGCTATCAACAACAAGGCAACTCCTATGACTAATTGGGAATGGGACGCAAGCGTAGGATTGATCACCCTGTCGCTGGCCGACTTTGGGGAGGGTGTATAGTGTGAAAGGCCGAAACACCCTAGGAACCAAAGGTACACTACTGACGATGCGCTCCCCAAATTTCACCAGGCTCACTGTTCATGAACTCTTGGAAGTGCTTGCACAAAGAATAGTAACATCTCATCCTGTGTTCTTGGAATCAACTAAATATAAAAAGCAGACTATGCCTCCATGTAAAAAATATTAAAGAATGTTTTACACATTCCACCAGTCATATAGCCTCCTGGGAGTACAGTATAAGTGACTGGAGATATTTAGAAATATGCGTTTACAGTATTTTACTGATATAAAATTCCACTTCGTTGAGCTATCATTTGTGACCAGGCCACTTTGGAAAAAGAGCTGTACAGCGCAATAAGCCTTACCTGATCAAAAAAAATGCCCGAGACCTTTGAGCCAAGAAATCTGTAACTCTGCTCTGTCTCTGTCAAAAAACCTGCGAGCCAATGATCTCTGCAACCTTGCATGGCCTACGACTTAGACCTGTGAGTTTGTCACCTATGCAATCCTGCACAACTTGCATCCTAGACCTGTGAGCCAACGCTCTCACCTATTTCCATGACTATGTGCTTGAGTACAGGAAGCCGTGACAGCGACCTGAGCCTCAAGCGTTGACCACACCTGTTATCGCAAGTACCTTGGATGCCCAAAACTCCCTTCGTCCTAAAGACTAGTTGACCCCATTTACTATAGGCCTCTTGGTCATGACCCAGCATTTTGGTAAATTTCCCAGATTAACCGGAACTGAATTGGGAACTTTACCACAAGTTCCTTTGCCTTAATTAGATATAGACTTCGACAAACTTTAATATGTTACTTGTACATTGGATTTCCTGTTCGAACTAGTACTGAATTGATCCTGTTATAACCTAACCTAGTACTTTTGACTACAGTTAACTTATATCTTGCTTATTTGACTTGTGTTTTCTAATTGTCTCATAACACTTGGTATTCCATTGTGTAGTCCGTTGGTGTTTTTGGCAAACCAAAATTATTTATTTTCTCTTTGTCTTGACTTTTGCCCTGGATTCTGGTTATCTTGACAGGTCCATGGGCTCAAACAAATACAATAGAGACTTTGTATAAAATTTTATGTAATTTACTTTCTTTTGGACAGGAGGAAATTATGAGTTAAGGCTAAGATTACATCTCTATAAACCCACGCTGTGACTGGATTCCATCCCGTGTGCATTTCAGAGTAAATTTGAGTTTGGACCTTTCAGAGATTCTCCAATTTCGACTTTCAGAGGCAATAGTCCAAGCTGACCCTCTGAATCACCCACCAATTCAAGCAACAATAGCTGCCACTAAACAATATGGTTCATATATTGTGAGCAAATCTGCTTATTAACAACCAATAAAACGTCGACACCACTTATCCAACTGTGATCTTGGCGAGGTGTGAGACTAAAAAAGTTGGCATTAAGGTTAAAGGTCACTGCAGTCGCTCCGCCCAGGGCCCAGCTCCAACTGCAGGTGGCCCAAGCCTACTCTCACGCCTGGCTGCCCTGGCTCAGCCTGGACGCTGCGATGAGTGCTGCCCCTTCTCCACAACCGTCTTCCGAGATGCAAAATGTGAGCACGCAGTGGGGCGCCAGCTCTTGCACCGTCTTCTGCATCACGCGTGAAAAACTGCGCCCGCAGACACACATGCTAGTTTTACAACCATCACAGGCACCCCCTCTAAAGTATCTGACTTTCTCTGATGAACACAGTGAATGTTTAAAGTCACTGCAGTCTTCCTGAGTGACATTCTCTATATAGTACAAGTAAAGTTGCCACCTTTTCAAGTCCAAACCGTGGCATACTCAACCAATCTAGGCCAAGCACAACTGCAGCATTCTGTAATGAAATTAAGTACAGTACTGCCAAATCTTGATACAACTAAATTCCTGCCACCAGAACAAAGATGCCAATTCCAGAACTGTCCGGGTCAAACCAGGTCATACCTGGAAAGGTGGCAACCTTGGTGCAAGATCTTGCCCCATTCGTGGGGCCTTACCTGGGGTGCAGCTTGTATACAGAGCCATCCACACCCACTGTCAGCTTCAGCCGCTGCACGCCGCGGCCCTATCTCATTTTGTCCACCACAGCAGCCATGGCGGTA